GGGGTGGCGGCGGCGGGGGGACCTGCTTCATCTCTGGGGAGATCCGGCCTCTGTTCACCCCCAGCCTGTGGGGTCTGCTCTTGGAAGCCTTTGGAAGCGGCAGGGTGGGTGCCTGAGACATCGTGGCAGAGTTTTGCTTGAGGTTCTTCATACAGGTATTTCCTAAGCTTTGGGAAAGGCAGTTCGGTATTTTGGACTGGGGAAAAGACATGCAAAAGCTGGGAAAGCACCCAGAGGGTCCTCTGGAACCCCGGGCCGGCCAGCTTCGGCCCCGAATTAAGCAGGGAACTCTCCGTCCTCTCTGGAAGCAAACAGCCTGAGGAAGGCCTGGAGCCGCTCCCCCTTTAAGCCAGTTTAAAGGCAGCTGGCCGCTTCCTGCAGGTGCAGCGCCTGCTTTGTGATGCTCCCCAGGCTGCCATCCCACAGGCTGCAAAGAGCAGCATCAGCCTGCAGGCCCTGGTGGGCTTCACTGCCTTCGCAGCTGGAATGATCTGGGGCTGGTCTGCAGGGCCTTGGGCTTCCCCACATCGGCCCGCCTCCTGCAAGCCAATTTACCTGGAGACGAAGGAGCCAGGGAGGCGGTGGCGCATCACGCATCACCCGCACCGGCCCAGACCGCAGCACGTGGCCCTGCTCCTCCGAAGAACGGTTCAGCCCCAGCACCCACCAGAGCCCCCTGCCGGTTGCCGGCTGGCGATTAGGCAGCCGTGGAAGGGGCCAGCGCAGCGCCACATCGGTGGAGGCTCCAGCCGGGCTGCGGCCACTTGAAAGGGGCACCGGCTGCAGAAGATCAGAGGGTTCGGCATCAGAGAGCGGATCCCAGGGGAGCTGCGGCCCCAAAGCACGTGCATTGTGCAGGCGCTGGTGGGAGCAGATGTCCAGGGCCCTCTGGAAAGCCATGTGCTTGTGCGAGGCTTTGAGCACGCAAGAGAAGCCCCCCCTTCTGTCCTCAGCTGCCTGGATCCCAGCGGCATTTTCCCATTTGCAGCTCTCCTCTCCTCACGACATTCCTGCACATGCCCAGAAGTAAATATTCTGGGCCAAACGCACTGGGAAAGTGATGGAGTCAGAGGAATTTCTGCCTGTTTTTCCAACCTGCTAAGAACAGTCCGGATGTTGTTTTGGCCTCCGAAGGTATTAGCAAGCCCCCGCAGCAGTCGTGTGCTGTGCAAAGGCGACAGGTGTTTCTCCTCAGCATCGCTGATAAGACCTCCAGGGAGCAGAGGGAGCGGTGGGGGGGCCGGGCCGGCCCCTGCCAGCTGGGCGAGATCCCTGCTCCTACAGGCCCTCGGGAAGGGGCTCCAGGTGCAGCGGCTTGGCTCGGCCCTCCTCCGCCGGCCTCCATGCTGCCGCTGCAGGGAACACCTGGTACAGTCCTCCCCCTAAGCAGGCGCTGTCAGGCCTGCCCACGCGGATGCAGGCCAAGAGGCCGCGGCAGCCATGCCCCCCGTGACCCCCGCTCGCTGCTCCGTGCTGCTGCTGCTCGGGCTGGCTGCTGCCCTGGCTCTCCAGAAGCGGGGAGGTGCTGAGGCCAGGGGGACGCCCTCGGCCAGGCAGCCAGAGCCGGTGGGGCCAGGGGCAGCAGGGGAGTCGTGGGGCACACACGTGTGGGGAGACATGAGGACAGGTGTGCCCGTCCAGACAGCGACCCACCCTGGTGGGGCCAGGCAACCCGAGGGTCTTGCAGAGAAGCGGGCGCCTGGGAATGCCCCCCCTGGAGAAGCAAGCCTCCCCGGGATGTGGCCAAGCGGCGGCGGCCTCTGGCAGCGGTGTGGCAGCTGGGCCCTCAAGACCGGGCTCGTGGGCGTCCTGGGCCTTCTGGTGGTGGCTGGCAACGGGCTGGTGGTCGCGGTGGCCGCCTCCTCGGTGTCCGGCTGGAGCCACAGCAGCCGCCTGGTGCTGCTCTCGCTGGCGGCCGCGGACGCCGCCCTGGCCGTGCTGGTGGTGCCGCTCAACCTGTCCCGCGGGCTGGCCCTGGGGCCGGGGCCGGCGGAGGCCGTGGCCGAGCAGGAGAGCTCCTACTGCCGGGCCGTGGCCTTCCTGAACTCCAGCGTCTTCGGGGCCTCGCTCTACTCCCTGGCCGGGGTCTCCCTGGAGCGCTACGTGGCCGTCTTCTTCCCCCTGCGCTACCACCGCCTGCTGAGCCGCCGGCGGGTGGCCCTGCTCATCGCGGCCTCCTGGCTCGTGCCGGCCCTCGTGCTGGTGCCGCTGGCCCTGCCGGCCCCCGCAGCCGTCCTCCGGGTCCGCTTCTCCGCCGCGGCGCTCCTGTGCGAGCCGGATTACGGCTCCAACGCCGCCTACTCCCTCCTGATCGTGGGGACCCTCTTCTGCCCGGCCGCGGCGACCATCACCTTCACGAACGTGTGCCTGTGGCGGGCGGCCCGTGCTCAGCGGCGGCGGGACGCGCGGGTCGGGGCCCTGCGGGGAAGGGGCCCGGGGCCGAGGAGGCGGCGCCTGCTGCCCCTGGACGCTGCCGCGCGCGTCCTGCTCCCCGTGGTCGTCGGCTTCTACGTCTGCTGGGCGCCCTGCATCACCATCCTCCTGTACAACTGTGAGTGCGCTCAGGGCGGGGGGCTGCGGCTCGGGGGGGGGGCCCGGGGGGGAGAAACCAAGGGGGGCGCCCATCACCGCAGTTCTCACCCGGAGGCTCTCCGCTCCGCCAGTCGCCGCATGGCCGGGGGGCTCCCCACGTGGCATCTGTGCCCCCCCCCCCGCGCCCACCCACCTCCCCGCTTCTCCGGCTTTTATTCCAAAAGGCCTTTGTACGGTCGATCTCTTGCACAGGATTTCCGCATCCTGCCCTCCCAGCCCACCCATTTGCGCCCAAAGGGGAGCCTTCTGCTCCGGGGCTCAGTGCCCCCCGCCCCAGACCCCCGCGAAGCCATGCCCCTTTCCGTCCCGCCAGGTTGCCTTAGAAGGGAGGGCGCCACGCAATGGCCACTCGGTGGGAACCCCCGTGGGACTCGCCGCTTGGCCGCGTGCCTGCTGGCCCGAGTCGAGGGGGAGCGGGCATGCCTGGCTTGTCCCCGGATCTGAGCGCCAGCGGGCAAATCGGTGGCCACACCGCAGGTTGCCCGGCGCCCGCCTTCAGGGCCATTTGGGGAGCAGCGGGTGAGGGCGGCCTGCCCGGCCAGGGGCCTTCGACGTGCTGGGCTCCCAGTGCCCGGGAATGATGGGAGCTGCAGTCCAGGGCATGTGGGGGACGCCGGGTGGGGCCGTCTGCCTTCCTGCCTGGGATCCCGCGGGGCAGGCTGGGCCCGGAAGGGGGCAGCTTGTGGCCACAAGATGCTGCCAGACGGTTGTGGGCGTGTGAGGTGCTGAGGCTGCGGAGCCGCTCCCCTTACGAGGAGTGCGCCCGTCACTCCGCAGGACGCGCTTCCACGTCAACATGCACAGGCCGGGCTGCTCGAGCGGAGGCCACTTGCAGCTCCGTAGGCCCCTCCCAGGGCCGGTGGCGGTGCGGGAAGGGGGAGAACACGGCATGCTTTGGTTCCAGGGCTGACTGCCGCCCTGGAGGCATTCGGACCCCCGAGGAGGGGAGCAGAGCTGGAGCAGCCGGCCACAGGGAGGGGGGCTCTCTGGGGAACCTCGGGGTCAGAGCAGGCCCCTGGCCGGGCAGAACGTGGCCTCAGCCACAGGAGGGCAACCAGCCGGAATCGTGGGCAGGGGGCGAGGGAAAAGCCCTGCGTGGAACCGGCCTCCCACCGCCTCTCTCTTGCTTCCAGCGCTCACACAGAGGAGGGTCCACGAATGGGTCGAGTTCGTGGCCTTGTGGCTCCCCACGGGCAGCGGCTTCCTCAACTGCTTTGTCTACTTCTGGATCAACAGGAACTTCCGGCGCAGGTTCCAGAAGGTTGGGCGCAGGCTGTGCTGCCCCGGCCGGCGGGAGCAAGGGCAGCCGGGCCCCGTGTCCTGCTGCCACGTGGCGGGAGGGGGCGGGGTGCTTCCGGCCCTCCTGCCGGGCTGCTCCAGCAGCTTCTCCTCTTCCAACTGCCCCCTGCCCGTCCTGGAAGACTCGGCCCAGCTGTAGCGCCCAAGCCAGGCTGGACGCGTCTGGGAACCACGGCGTCCTCGGGTCCGCTTCACACGTGGCTCGGCAGGACACGTCGCGTGGGAGAGAGTGGGCACTGGCGCACAGGGAAGGACACGGACCGTGCTCTTCGCAGAAGGTGCCGGGTGAGCCGGCCGCGAGCCGCCGCTGGCCGTGGGCGAGCACCACTTTCCCGCAGAGCCGGATGCCCAGGAGGGCGGAGAGTGACGTGGCACCGGCCGGGCTGGTCCCCCTTGTTCTTGCGAACTGCCGTTCCGTGCAACCCAGGGCACAGCAGTGGCCCTTTCTGGTGGCCGGCCTCGTGGCTGCAGCACCCGCCTGGAAGGGCCCCCCCCCCCCCCCCCACATGCAAGCCCTCGGACAACCCTTTTGCCCCAGGGGAGCCGCCCGCACACCTGCTGCCCTCCGGCTGTGATGACTCCAACTCCCAGGGCCTCCATTTAGCCGGCTGGGAATGATGGGAGTTGCAGTCCGCCACACCTGCAGGGCGCCAGGATGGCAAAGGCAGCACGGAAAGGGACCCCCGGACCAAGAGAAGGGAAGAGCTTTTTAAAAGACTTTTGGGAAAGTGTAACTGTTGCAGTTCCTAAGGTGATGCAGCCTGCTTTTAATGCCCTTTCAGTGGCCTGGCTCTTGCGTTTTAAGCGTTTCAGCCATGCATTTCCTCCTCCGCGAGTGGCTGGATCTGTGCCCCGGGAGCTGGTGCTGGCACGTCCCCCGTCACGCACCACGGCTCCTCTGCCTCTCCTCGCCGAGGTTTAAATTTCTGGCCCGTTGCAGCGTCTGCCAAAGCTCCAACGATGCCGAGCCAGTTCCGAACTGGAACCAAAGGGGATGATCCGGCGTGCGCTTTTAACAGGAAGAGGCCCCTCGGCGCCGCGAGTCGTGCCCTGGAAGAGGCACCCTGAGCATCGGGGGATCCTTCTCTGCCTCAACAGGGCCGGATCGACACCGGCACGGATTTCTTGTTCCCGGGAATACCCTCTCCACCAGAGCTGAGCCAGGGTGCAGGGACGGTGGAGGGACACAAGCAAAGCCCCCGCAGAAAGGGCAGCCACCCGCAGAACGCTGTGGGGGGAGCGCTGGCACGGCCAGCCCCACACCCGGCAGCCCCGGTATGGCAGCTCTCCCCACAGCCATGCCCTCTGGCTGCCGGGCCGGGTCCCACAAAGCGCGTCGCCTCCCACATTGCCGCCAGCGAGGCCTTTCTGAGGCCTTCCTGGCTGTGTTCACGAAAGGCAGTCCTCAGTTCCCTGCGAGCCTCAGGCAGGACGGCTGCTGGGAGGAATGCAGGGCGTTGCGAGACCTGGGGCCCACCGACACTGGCACTGCACGGGGCACTTGGTGACTCAAGAAGGGAGAATTTCCGAGGAGGTGGGTGTCGCTCGCTCGCTCTTTCTCCCCTTCCCACACCCAAGATCCTCGGACCGGCAGCCACGGAAGCACGGACTGTATGAGGAGACAGGCCTGAGGCGTGCGTTATTTTCAGAGGGCGGGGGGGGGTGTCTTTGTAGGGATGCTTTTCTGTGCCCCCCGTGCAAGTACAGCTGGTCATGTAGAGCTGTGGGGGGCAGGGGGAGATTAGGACGCAGTTGTTTGCGGTGTTTTGCCATAAACAAGCGGGACACTTGTTTTTGGGGAAGGGCGTTAGCTCTGCCTTCCCTCTGGACAGCTGCGCTTCCTGCCCTCTGCATTCCAGGGGTCCCTTTCCACTCCGCAGCTGTTGTGAGGCAGGGAAATGACACCTTTTCTTGCTATCCGAGTCTTCCAGAAATTCAGTTGCGCCTTGGAGTTCTTGGCGGAAATGAAATCCCTTCACTGCCCCCCTTCACACCCCCTTTCCCTATAAATGCTGTGTTCCTAGGAGAAAAGAATAAAGGAAAACTATTTCATAGAAATAAAGATGTTTTTTCAATTAAGTGCGGAGCTCTCCCAGTTCTTGCGGACTGCCAGCGGGGCGGCGCTTGCCTCCCTCGGCTTTTGCCAGCCCCAGCTGATCGATCCGACATAAAACGTCAGCAAGGCTGTCACACAAGCCTGCCCCAAAAATACTTCTTACCAGTATTGAAGTCTGGATCTCGCCATAAAGCGCATGTGAAGAGCGAAAATGGGTTGAGCTGCGTTTGACGGGCTATTCGCACATTCCTAGCAATGCACCTCTGATACTCTGAGAGCCGAACTCCGCCCAGGCAAGACGGTCCCAGGACCAGCGAGCCGTCCTGCACGCCCGGCTCGGGGGGGTCCGGCTTCCAGGGGCCAGGAGGGCTCATCGCTGGTGCCGGATCTCGCTGCGGTCAGTCCAAGGCCCACCGGAAATGCCGGCACAGGTCTCCCACTTCCTGCTGGTATTTCCGGCTGAACAGCTCGTTCTGCTGCGGGGAAAAGTGGTTCCTCCAGTCCCCAACGATACCTGAGCGGAAGAAAGCTTGGCTGGCGAGATCAGAGCAGACCCCAGAAGCCTGGCTGCCCACACGCAGTGGCCCAAGTGAGGGGCGCAGGCAGGCGAGGTGCCTGGCCCCAGAGGCGCGCCAGCTTACCTACGAAGCCGCTCCAGCTGGCAGGCTGGCTCCGTGTCCCATGTTCTGCTGCCCTCCCCCCCCACTCGCGCTACCCTCCCCGCCTCACCCCCCCCCACGTACCCTTCCTCATGAACTGGCTCTTGCTGGGATCCAGGATCTCGCGTGGGACAAGCGCGCCATTCACCATGGGGCTCTCGCGCATGGAGGCGAAGCTGCAGTGCCTCTGGATGGCGTCCACCTGGCCCGGCTGCAGAGGCCGGTCCAGGAAGGCGCTCAGTCGCCCGACCGAGGCCTCCAGCTCCTGGGGGGAGCGCCAGAGAGAGGTCTAGGTCACCCGCCCTTGCTAGAAACAGCGGCATCAGATTTTCAATCCCTGGATCGTGGCCGACGGCTCCCATGAGCCCTAGCCAGCATCCCCAAGAGCGAGGGCTCAGGGGTCCCACCACACCTGGAAGGGCACTTGGCCACCCCCCAGCCGCGTGGCGTGTCTGCCTTGCCGCCCAGCCCCCCCCCCCCCCGCCAGCCGCTGGGTTCCTCACGCCTGCCCTCCCGGTGCAGCAGGCCCAGTCAAAGCCCACGTCCTGCACCTGCCTGCAAGGCAGCTCACCTGGTATAACTCCTCATAGGTGAGGTACAGAACCGTCAGCTCGTCCTGACAGCTGAGCCAGCCTTTGACGTGCTCAAACCAGGAGCCAAAGTGCACTGTGTGGGGAGGGGCAGGGGGACAGCAAGGTCAGCCGGACAGCGCGCCCTCTTTGACCCCCCCGGGAGGACAGGGCCCTCGGCGCAGCCCGCGCCCTTTGCCAGGCTCCCGGCGTGTCGCCTGCCACCATGAGGTTCGTCCAGCCTCAGCCAAAGAGCAAACCAGTGTCCCCTCGAGCCGGTGATGTCCCGACTCAATGCATCTCCTGCCCACCCCCCCCCCACTGCAAAGGGCCTGCGCCCCCCATATTTTTTGAAGGTGGCCAATGCAGCTCATTTGGTTGAAAACACCGGCCCTGAGCTCCCGTCCAGGTTCACACACGCGCAGAAAAGTGGCGGGGTGCAGCGAGATTAAGCCCCCCTTGTCCTGCGACTCGTTTCTTCTAACATGAGAGGCAGCAGATCTGAAGCCACCATGAAAGAAGTTGGGAAATTCAGACACACTGACGGGAACATTCCTGGTCTTTCCAGGAGGAATTACTAAATTATTATTCCTTTCTGAGTTTTCCAAAAAAGTGGAAAGAAAGCGTGAAACTGAATTCTTGCTTAACATGTTTTTGCCAGGAAAAAGCTCTCAACGCTCACGCAAAGGGAGAACTGTTCCTAGCCCCACCCGCCGCTCCTACCGCCATTACCCAAACAAAGCAAATCGCAAACAGCTGCCTTTTGACAGAGTCAGACTCTGGATCCGACTCGTCCGAGCTCTCCACGTCAGCAAAAGCCTGCAGGCCCCGGGGGGGGGGGTCTCCAGCCCCGTGACCTTCTGCAGCCTCAAGCGGTCAGGCAGAGGGGCCTGGGCACCCACGGAAAGCTGCGCACTCCTTAACCCAGAACGACCCACACGTCCTCGGAACGAGGCCCCTCTGGGGCAGGGTGGAGAAGGGGAGGAGCCGCAGTGGGTCGGCGGGCTCCCCCCAGGCCATGCCCGGCAGCCGCCACGCTCACCTGCGCCATCCAAGAAGCGAAGGAGAAACTCGTCGAAGGAGCCAGGGTCAGGCAGGAAGTTGGCCATTCTACTGAAGTGGTAGTACGAGACGGCAACATCCTTGGGGTTTCTGGCCAGGTAGATCACCTGTGGGAGTAAAAGAAGGAAACCACACAGGTCAACCTGACAGCCCACCTGAAAGGAAAGGGCTGCCCACGTCTCCTTTCTCTGCTGGAAAACAGGAAGGGGGAAAAACAGACCAAAACCCCGCCTAAGCTGGAGAGACCACGGCCAGGGGTCCCTTCGCCCAGAATAAGCGCGAAGCAAGGACGGCAGGGCAGGCCTTCTGGACTTCCGCTCTGCGGATGTGCACCTCTGGGTTTGCAGAGACTGCAGCCACTCCAGGACGCAAGCCAAGGATGGTGCGCACGGCCCCCATGTGCGCGGTTACCCGATGCTCGGCTGCCGGGGCGACTTGGCCGGTGTGCCGACAGAGAGGGCGCTGCGTGCCTGCCGTGGCACGCACGCCACGAGTTCCCCACCACTGTCCCACACCCACCTTGGGCTTCGTTTTCCTCAAGGTGGCTGCTAACACCCGATGAGGCAGGTGGGTGGTGAAGATCCGGGAGTCCTGCTCTTGCTTGGGCAAACTCTTGAAGTAGGTGTGCTCCAACCAGGGGGTCCGGACCCAGTTGGGGAGGGTCTTCACAGGCTCTGCATCTCCTTTGCTGTAGATTAAGGTCAGGATCTCTTGAAGCCAGGTGGTCCCTGGAGGGAAGGAATCACAGAATCATCGTCAACTATTTTAACAATGCGATTAGCCGCACCTCCAACAGGTGACAGCTCCAGGGGTCTCTGGGGACAGCCACCCTAACTGAGCCTCATTTTGCTGGGCACAAGCAAGCTCACCCTTCACACAAGCTTTCCCTGACCTGGTGTCTCCCAGAGGGATTGGACTGCGACTCCCATCTCCCCTGAAGCCATTGGCCAAAACACAGGTGGCACCAGTGCTGGGTGATGTGAAAGATTTGCGATTACTTGCAGAATAATAAGACACAGAGAGCGCAAGGCTAGCGGTCATCATGCTAAGCCTTGGACAACGCTGGCACTTTCCTCCTAGGGTTTGTTAATTAGTGGTTTAAAGGGGGGCGCAGGTTCCAGAGAAGACTCTCCAGGCAGCTAATCAGCCTCTGAGGTCCCACTGCTGAAAAGTTTTTAAACTTTTAAAAGTTAAGTGAAAGGCTTTGGGGGGGGTTGGCTGCCCCCGCTACACACGGTTCCTTTTTAGCCGCTGAGGGGAACAGAAGCCCAGCTAAAGGCGGCCTGACAAGGAGACGCAGCAAGCCCTGCTCTGGGAAGGGCCACGGGGACCAGGGCGCGTGGTGTGCGCAAGACTCAGCCGGGACCCTCTGGCTCCTGCTGGGAGCCCTGCGGGACATCGAGGGCTAGTCCTGCCTCAGACGGCATTGCCACACATCCAGGGTTTCTTACACAAACTGAGTGTTGGGCAACTTTTAGGCGGATCCGCTTGCGGACAAGGATGTCCCCGCTGAGTTTTGGTACTTGGATGGCGCTCAGGCCCCAGCTACATTTAGAGTTTGGGACATTGCTAGATTCATGCAACGAACCCCAGAAATGATTTTAGGGTATAATTCAGCCATTGCAAGATTTTTTTAAACACAGACTCAGGCCGCATTTTTCGTTAGCGCCTCAGCTGTTTACCCTGAAGTTAATGATCACGAGACTGTCAGAAGATGGCTGGCACAGATTGGACTCAGGACTCTGCGACCCCCAGTAGCCACTCGGTCAAGCAGGAAAGATTTGGCTCCTGCCCACGAGGTGCAACAGGTGCTCCCTGAAATGTCCAACCCAGAGGAGAAAGGGCTGCTGAACGAACGCTGGTGAGCTAATAGTAAAAGCTGCGCCTCAGACGTCTTGCACAAGCCCTTGAGAGACTTCCCCGCAGTCAGTCGAATAACCGCTGCATCAGGAGATGATTCAGGATATAAATAATGGTCCTTCTGCCCTTTCATGCCTCCCAGGGATGGCTAGGGTGGCCTGTGCAGGTGACCCAGACTCCTCCCTGGCAGGTTCCTTTCCCAGCACATGGCAAGAGGGCACCAAGCCCATTTCTCTGGCCAAATACCCTCCGCCAGCCCACCCTGACCAAGACCTGGTCACCAGCGGGCGGCTTGCAGGACAAGCTGTACAGCCAGTGCGCATTTTCTGGGCACAGATTGTGCGGATGAGCAGTGGCTGCCTCCATGTCCTCAGTGCAGCCGTTGGGGGCCAGCGCGGGGGCAAGGAAAGCAGAGATAACCCCCGAGAAACACTTCGCTCCAGCCGGGCTCCGGGCACCCCTGGACGGCTGGCCCAGCACTGGCGGAGCCCTTCTTGGCCACTCGGCCGTTCGGCTCCAGTCAAGTTCCCAGCTGGAATGCTGCAGGGCGACCTCCTAGGCAGGGACACGCAAACCTCGAGCGCTTCCTCCTCAGCTGGAAGTCCGCACGAGCCGCCTGGGCCCCGCGTGGCTCGCCACCCTTCGTGCACCACCTGCGAGAAGGGGGCCCCGCACGGGACGGAGAAGTGGCCGCGCCGGTTGCAGCGGGGCGGGGGGGGGCAGCGACAGCAGCCAGGCGACTCGGGCCGTCTGGCCGGCCGCTCTGGCCGCGCTTTTGCGCCGCGCTCTTGCCGCCGCAGGCGCAGAAGGCGCGCTCCGGGCGCGGGGCTGCTTCCCGGGCGCCGCTGCCCGGCCCGGCCAGCGACCCTCACCTGATTTGGGGTAAGTGACGAGCAGGGCGTCCGTGCCGCGGAAGGGGAAGGCGCGGGCCAGCTGCAGCGACTCCTGCGTGTGGAGGTGGCCGGGCAAGGCGAGGCCCGCGAAGGTCTCGGTCACGTCGAGCCGCAGCGCGGAGCCCTGCGCCTCTTCGCCCCGGGACATCTTGCCGAGCCGGCGGCGCGTGCGGGAGGGGCCGCGCCGCGCATCCACGCAGGCAAGGGCGGGCAGCGATCCCGCCCCCGCCCCCCCCCCGGGCCGGGCCGGGCCGGGCCGGAGGGCGGCGCGCCAGCCCTCCCCGGGAAGCGCCTCCTGGAGGCGCCGCGCTTCCACGGCGAGAGGCGCCCCGCAGACCGGCCCGCCTCCCCGGCCGCTCGCCCTCGCCCGCTGCTCCCGCCCTGCAGGGCCCGGCCAGCGGCCAGGCCAAAAGGCGACGATGCGCGCCGGGGCGAGAGCGCCAACCCGCCCCGCGGGGCTTCCACGGGGCACGCGTGCACACGTGCCACGCGTCTTTGCGCACGGCCTGGATGGAGCCAGGCGGGCGCGTGAGCAAACCGTCCAGGTGGAAAAGTCGCTGGCTTCAGAGCCTCCGAACTGGGTCAGAGAAGCAGCCCCGGGGGGGGGGGAGCCGGCTGCCCCACGGAGCCCCCAGATGTGCAGCGAACAGCCGCCCCGCCGTGTGACGCGGGGCAGAGCTTTTCCTGGCGGAAACCACCTGCTCGCGGGCGAGGGGCAGGTGGAGACGAGGCGCTGCTCGGACCGGGCCTGCGGGGCGACCTAACCGACTTCCCGGGCCCTGAATCTCTACCTCGGGGCCACGGGGGGGGGGGGGGGGTTTCAAAGAGCACCGAAGGGACGGAGGGAGGAAGATTTGCTCCCCCACTTCCAGATGCTGCGGTGCTCCCCAGCGCCCCCCCCCCAGCACAGACGTCGCTTAAGCTCAGAAGCAAAGCTTTCCTCTGGTGCCAGTGGGGAATCTTTTCCTAAGCGAAGCTGCCATGCAGGGAGGAATTTTCAGGGAGATAACATTAGGGGGGGCCTGCTTCCTTTCTGGCGCACTGAGGGCCCCCAAGCTCCCCCCTCCACGTGCCAATTAGGCTTAGGAAAACGACACCTTCCAGCGAGACACCAGGGGAGAGATTGTGGCTGAAGCAAAGGTATTTAAATGACGTGCAAAGGTTTTAAAATCAGCCGGAATATTTTAAAAATAGTTCAAGCAGTAAAAACGTGGGGAAGGAAAGGAAACATTAAGCTCAGTGCTGAAAATAAAACAAACAGCAGTTCCCAATTCCTTTTAAAGGGCTGGGAGAATCGAAAGACCCTAAAGTCATCCGAGAAGCACAGCAAAGGCTTCCCACTGAAGGTCTGAAGGCCACACCGGAGGGCCATTTGGGGCCATCTCCCACAGAAGCTCCGTGGTGCCAGAACGCTGAGCCAGCTGGGCTCCAGGTTCTCGCCTCGAGGCACGCCGGAGAGCGAAAGAGTCCTTGCAGATCCACGCCAAGGAGGGTCTTGCAGACTCATACCAGCACCTCGGCCTGGCCTGGCAAATGAGCCCAGGGCCAGCGGGCGGGCACAGCTCTGGCACGATGTGGCCTGGCCCCACTTCCACTCAGCAGCCCCTGGGCTGTCTTCACGGGCAGCCCCACAAACGGTGCGCTGCGGAAAGTTGACTAGCCAGTGACCAGTCCGTCGCCAGAGTGTGGAGCACCGAGGCCAGCCCTTCCGTATACAGGTGGGCCGCAGCCGGCACGCCAGCCTGTGCTGGTGGAGGTGCTCAGCACCGCAACCCACCAGCAGTTCCAAAGGACGGCCAGCCCTCCTGCCAGGGCAAAATCGGCTGCCATCCGCCGGGACAGGCAGAGCCCGCACTGGCAGCGCTCCCCCCCTGCACCCGCGTCGTGCCCATCACCCCAGGCAGTGATTAAGCACTTCCAGGGCCTCACCTGGATCTGGCCCGCATCCAGGTGGCAAGGGGGGCATTGCCTGCAAACAGGCAATTTACAGCAGCTGTAAATATATATATATATATATATATATATATAAAATTCCTTTTAGCACGCACATTCCCCGTGTTTCTGCCCCCCAGCCCATCCCTGGCCTTGAGCGCATGGGAGAGAGGCAGAGACAGCTGTGAGTCATCAGGCTACTGATGACACAGCTCTCTGAGCCTCCAAACAACCCATCTCTGCAGCATGGCGGCGGGGGTGGGGTGGGGTGGGGGGAATGACCCCTTCCAGAGCCTGAGGCGTCAGAGCCAGCGCGTTTGGCAGGGGCTCGCCCACGGCAACTGCTGGACCTGGCCGTCCACGAATGAGTGGAGCAGCCACGCAGCCCGGCCACCCTGGCCCTGCTCAGACAGTTCCCTGGAGGGTTACGTGGTCCATGCCGCTGAAAGCCATGGAGGGGTCCCAGAGCATCAGCAGGAGGATGCGAGAGCGACGGTTCGTGCCCTTCGGTTCATGCAGAAGCATCACCATGCCAAGCTCTCCCTGGATGTGTGCAATCCTCTTTCAGAGAGAGCCGGGCTCGGGCCGCCAACGCGTCTCGCGGAGTGCTTGGCGCTTCCTTCCGTGTGTCCGGAATCGTCTACTCTGCGGCGATGCCTCCGGATGACCAGAACCGCCCCCAGCACTCCAACCGCGGCCACACCGTCGCTGCCCGCGGAGCTGCAGGGACCTTGGCAGCTTCGTCTGCCACCCCTCCCCAACTGCGCCTGACGCAGAACCTGCCACAGGCCGGGCTAATGTCGGCATCGCGCTGCCTGCGCCGGCCCGAGGCCCTGTCCGCGATCCGTCCCGGCCGGCCGAAGCTGGGAATGCATTTGCCCCGCTCCCCTCCCCTCGCGTGGGCTTCCGCTTCTGCTCTGCGGGCCTTGGGGACTGGCGGCCCGTCCGCTGCCAGCTTCCCCAGCCTCTCCCGCCTCTGCCGCCACGCCCATTGCCCCACGCTGCCTTCCTTCGAGGTGTCTTCTGCCGGCAGGGTGGGGACGCGTGTCCCTTGGCTGAACCAGCCAAGGTTCCTCCGCATGATAAGCCAGGCCGGGCGGTGCAAGGAGCGGATGGACCTTCCCCTGTCCTCGTGCTCCCGAGGGAGCGACTGGCACACGGTTCCAGGGCAGGCCCTGCTCCAGAAGCCACCCAGGCGCAGTCCTTGCCTGGGGAGCCGACTGTGCTTCCCGAGGGAGGGCTGCCCCACGGCCGAGTCCCACAGGAGGAGTGTCACGGGATGACTTCAGAATGAAGCCCCCTGTCAGCTCCAGGCTCTCCATTCCCGCCAGTAGCCGAGCAGGTAGAGGCCACCCTGTGCCAACCTGGCCTTCTACTCACAGGCAAAAGCGGGTGGCCAGAAGGGAAAGGGCTGGCCCGGCCCGGCCCGGCCCGAACGCCACTCTGGGAGCTTTCAGCCTATCGGAGCAGAGGCTGGAAGGACTGAAGCGGGTCCCCACAGTGGGGAGTCCCTTTCCACCGATGGATGCCCGAGGGAGATCGGAGTGCCCAGCGCTGTGGGAGACGTTCCAGCGCTCACTGCAGGCTGCCGGCTTCGTCCCGCGGGCGGCTGCTCTTCCGTGAAGCGAGGGGTCCGAAGGGCATGCTCACCAGCACCCCACGGCCCTCAGCTGGAGGGCCGCTGAGGCCACGTGGGGGAGTGATGTCAGCATCATGAGCCCGCTGCCTAGCTGACAGCGTGGGGCAGGTGCCCTGCTTTATAGGAGGCAGCTCGCTCTCCGAAGAGCTGTCCAAGGACAGTCCTCTAGCAGAAGCTGCCCAGTCTCCGTGTGGCTGAAAGGCCAAGTGCCGCCAGAAGGACGGCGGGAGCTCGCAGGCCCTCCTGTCACGGCCGGGCAGGGAGACGCTCCACTGGCCATGCGCTGGGAGGCGCCCCATCTGCGTGTCAACTGCCGCCCCGTGGTGTCTCAACCTGCATCCTTCTGGGTGGATTAGCATATGCAAATAGCATGCAAACGTGCACGCTCTCGGGCAGCCGGTAGGCAGCCGCTGGCCCCTGGCCAACTGTGCCCTACAAGCCCCGGAGCGGGGCAGCCCCAGTGCTTCCACAGGCAGCGCAAGTTGGCGGCCCGAGTTAGCCGGCGGCTCCTCCCAGGCAATTGTTCCTTGACACTGGAGTGGCCTAGCGGTAGAAATAGTTCCTGTTTATATGAATCATCTCAGGGCTCCGTTGCCAGAGGGAGGCCAGGGCAGCTCGCGGGTGCAGGGTGGGCGTCTGCGGGAATCGCTTGGCCCTCGACGGCACCTCGGGAGGATGGCCCGGGCCGGGGCCCCACGCACACGGACGCCTCTTCTGGCCACCGGCCTGCTGCTCGCCGGCCTCTCATTCTGCTCAGCGGCGGATCCGTTTCGGCAGAAGGCGGAGGAGCTCATGAACAAGACGCCTCTGGTCGACGGGTAAGCCCAGTCCCCCTGCAGTGCGGAGGGGCAGAAAGCCGCCCCAAAGCCTCGGGCGACGACGGGCACGCCGGCCTCCTCTGTGGGATCTGGCCCTTTGCCACAGGGGATCTCCCACGGCGTGGGGCCATCCGGAGGTGCGCGAACGGGCCGCGAGTCGAGCCGCTCCCAGCGAGGCACTCTGCTCCCCAGATCTGCCTGGGAGAGGCTCTGCCAGGGCAGCCTGCCCGGGCCTGCTTGCGGCTGCCGCTCCTGCGCTCTTATCAGGAGGCTGCAGCTCTGCCGCCATGCGAGGGGGGGGCTGGGCTGCACCTCTCCCTTGGGAGGGAGAGACGGGCACCGGGCAGGAGCCGGGGGCCTCACATTGCCGCCAGCCATGGTGTGGCGTGGCCACACCTGACCCCGGACCCGAAGGGAAGGCGCGCTCGGTTTTGCACCTGAAGCAGCAGCTCGAGGCGAAGGGGGCGAGGAGCAGGGCTGCCCGTGTGGCGTGGGGAGCGGCTGGCTGAGGGTGTCTTGCCCAAGCATCTGGCACAGAGTCCAAGGGTAACGCGGAGCTTCCGGCCCAGGCACCCGCCCGTTTGCCCCGGCCCTCCCCGCCTGCGGCTCTCTGGGGAGTCAGTGGGGGCCCCCACGGCCGAGGCGAAGGGGGCGAGTCACCCACTGCTGCATTCCAGCACCTCGAGTCCCGGCCGTGAGGTCAGAGTGCTGCTGAGCCTGCCATGGGGCTTAAGCACAGCCTCTGAGGGCGGGCAGAGTGCTTTCCCGCTCATGAGGAGGCCCGGTCAGGGTTTCGAAGTGGGCAGCCAGAGCCTGTGCCACCCCAAGGCTGCCTCTGCCTGGGCAGCGGAGCGGGAGCACGGTGGCCGCAAAGGCACGCCGAGCTGGGCAGGCCGCGGGGGCGTTCCTGGGCTGCGGGCCCGTCTGGCACGGCTTGTGGGAAGAGCGGCAGGATGTGTTCCCATTGCAAGCCCAGCGGCCAAAGGCCAGCACAGGGAGCCAGGGGTCCCCTCCGGAAGGAGCTGGGACCCCCACGGGGCCGGCAGGGGCTCGAGCACGCGGGATGCAGCTGTCCAGCTGCCGGCAAGCCCGGGGGCGGCGAGGCGGCAGGGCCAGCGGCCCCGGAGGAGAGAGGCGTGTGCATCGTGCAGCGACACCCGTGTCAAGGCTCTGCCGGCAGGCTGGAGAGACAGCAGGGGCTCGGCTCGGGCCCAGCGTGGCCGAATGCGGCATCAGGACCCGTGGAGGCCGCAGGCGCCGGCTGCTCCAGCCAGGGCCGTCTTACCGCATGGGCCTGAGGGGCACTTGCCCGTGGGCCCCATACTGATCTGTGTAAACCCTTGGAAAATTGGAAACCTTCCAAAACTAACAGTAGTTGTCGTCGTCGTAGGGGCCCCAGGACACTGCTTGGCCTGGGGCCCATCATGCTGTTCAGACGGCCCTGGCGCCAGCCGTGTGGCAAACAGGCTTTTTCTCCCCGTGTGCACAGCCTCGCCTGCTTCTCCAGCCAGGTGCACTTCTGCGGGGTGGCTTCTGGAGCAAGCCACGGCTTGCTGTGGGCCTCAGAAGCCGGCCCGGGCCGGTCGGCCTGTCACCTGAGCCCCAGTGGCACGACACGCCCGGGAAAGCCCCAGCTCCCACAGAGCCGCTTGAGCAGCTGCAGCCGGCCCCGAAGTGCGGGAGCAGCACCCAGGGGCCCTGCCAAGGCCGCCCCCTCTCCAGAGCCACCGCGAGCCTTTCCTGCCTCGCTGACGCTCGCCTTCTTGCAGGCAAGCGGGACCCCTCCTTCAGCCCGTTTGGAGAATCAAGCTGCCACGCAGGCCGGCTTTTGCAGTTCTCCAGTTTGGGCAACCGTGGGCTGTCCCCCGGTCGTCCCGGCAGGATGTGGGAGGGGCTGCCCAGAGTCATCTCCCTTTCCAAACCGAGCGCTCTCTTGACTCGCAAGCCTTGCGCTCACAAGGCGCAAGCCTGAAATGCCCCCGTCATGCAGCGGGGCACTCCAGATCAAAAGGGAAGCGGGCACCGTGCCAAGATGCACCTCCTGCATGGGAAGAGGAAGGACAGAAGGCCGAGCCCTCGGTCAGGGCAACCGACTGCGCCGACAGCGCTGAACTGCGTCAGGAATGCCACCGACTCGCCCGTCAGGCTGTCCTCTGCGGGCCCCGAAGGAGCAGCTGGGTGCCCGAGCCAGCGCAAGCGCCTGTTCACACGTCCCAAGCAGCAGGCCCTGGTGGGCGACCCGCACTGCAGCTCGGCCTCAAAAGCCACACCCGGCCCCAGGCATGGGAGCCAAATGCCCCTTGATCTTGAACATCTGGGAACAGCTTCCAGCTCGTGTTTTCGCGCCCAGAGAAATACCGCTCCAAGTTTTGGCTGAACAAAGCCTTTTGAGAGGACTTTTCCATACCCGATTCCACGTGCCACGATCGGCGTGGCGAGCACCTTGCCTGGGAAATCTTTCCCTTGCGAAGGTGTGCCGAAAGCTGCGAGCAAGTTTCGGGAACGGCCTGTTGCGATCCGCCTCTCGCTCAGCTTCACATCAAGTGTGGCGTCACCTGAGAGAGGAGCTGGAACACGCGTGTGAGCCGGCCCAGTCCTCCCAGTCCTCCCGGGGGCTGGAATGCGACTCCCATCAGCACGGCCGGTGGCACGGGAGAAGGTCCAAAACTTCCAAAGACCATTGGGTGTCTGCCCCGCTCTAGGAAGACCAAAATGGCTTTGAGCGACTAATAAAATCAATCAATGTTGGGGGACTGGAGTTAATCGTTAATACGCTATTCTAGATTTTTTACAGGTTGACCTTGGCCTTTGTCTCTACCAGCCAGTGCTGGGGTTTTATTAAATGGCAAATTTCACCGACTTCCTTGTGAGGTGTGATTCGTCTGCAAATTCATTTCCATGGAATCCATTAAGTGAGGGGCTTAGTGAAGAGGTGAATCATGCAGCCAGTAAACCAGTTTCTTTGAACGAACAGGGCTGTCTCAAGAAAGGGGACCGGACTGTTTCCGGGTGTTGCCATGTGTTCTCAGATCCTGGGAAGCAGGAGGAGGAGGAGGAGGAGGAGGGGAGGGCTATTCCTCGCCCTCATCGGGAAGGTGGCGTGCAGCTGCGAGTGGCGCATACACCCAGCCGAGCGCACTTCCCGGCACGCAGGGCAGGTTTCAGATCCGCTTGCGGGAAGCCAAGCAGGTGGCTCAGAGAACACAGAGGTGCAAATCCTCTTGAGCGGTGATCATTTGCTTACCTGCACACAGGTATTTAATAACAAACGTAACACGGCTAGACGGGAAAGGCGCGTAAATCCAGGATCGCTCCCTGGCATCGGATTGCGGCTCAGCCCGCCTCCCTTCGCCTGCCTTCTCTCACGGCCACCCTCTGTGCTTGCAGGCACAACGACCTGCCCTGGCAGCTGCTGAAGTTGTTCAACAACCAGCTCTCCCTGAAGAACGCCAGCCTGACGGAGCTGCAAGCCACACACACCAACATCCCGAAGCTGCGTGCTGGGCACGTGGGGGCGCAGGTAGGGGCCCGGGGAGACGGGGCTTCCGCTGGCCCGCTCAGAAGCACGCGAGATCGTCCCGCGCTCCACCCGTCGCCCGTCCCGGCCCGTGTGGACACCCCGATGGCTCCCAGCGCGGCCAGACTCTTTCCCAGACATGGGGCTCCAGAGGGGAGGGGTGCGTGTAGGCTGCTTCAGCTCCGCTCTGGGTGAGGACGCCTTCTGCTTATGCACCCAAGCTCTCTTTCTCCCACCCGTCACCTTTGGGGGTGACCCCACAGGCGTCCAGAATTACAGGGGAGAAAGAAAACCAGCGTGCGCAATTCTGGGCTCCTCTTGCTCCTTTTCCCAGGCTGAGCTCCCCCAGGCGCTGCAGCTTTTCCCCGGGAGTTGGCCCTGCCCCCCACCAGCTCAGGCCCTTTCCTGCACTGCTCCCAGCTCCGCAGACCCTTTACTTGAGGGGCGGGAGCAGAGCTGTACGCCGCCGTCCAAACCCGCTTGTGCCGGGGCAGTGGCAGGGAGCCCAGCCTTCCCCGGCGCATGTCCTCCTCGTGCCGGCCAGCAAGGCGCCCCAGCTCTCTCTCTCGCCCCTCTCCCTCGTGCAGTTCTGGGCCGCCTACGTGCCCTGCGAGACCCAGAACAAGGATGCAGTCCGGCGCACCTTGGAGCAGATCGACGTCATCCAGCGGATGTGCCAGCGGTACCCGGACGTCTTTGAGTGCGTCACGGACAGCGCAGGTAAGGTGTGGGGGGGCGGCCGGGCAGGGAGCGGCTCCCGGGCTGGGTGGGGCGGTGTGCCCCCGGGAGGGCAAGGGTCCACACGTTCGGGGAGCAGGGGCAGTTTCCTCGCCCGGCTGGAAAGGCCCCGAAGACACTGGCCACGGGGAGGCCACGGCAGTCCAGGGCGGGCCGCCCTCCGGAGAGCGCAAACGGGAGGCCATCTGGCGCGGTGTGTCAGGGCCCGGCCAGCCGGCCGCCCGGGGAGGGCCAAGCAGGACAGGCACACCTGGCTCAGGTGCCTGCCAAGGAGTCGCCCACCCGCTCGACGCCCCGGCCGTGCGCAGCCCCGCCGGTTCCCCGTGTGGGCAGGGGCTCCGCGGGGAGGGCATGATGCAGAGCCGCGCCCCGTCCTGCACTTTCCCTGGGTCAGCCCCCGGCCGCACTTCCCTCGCAGGCATCGAGAGAGCCTTCCAGAGCGGCCACGTGGCCAGCCTGATCGGCGTGGAGGGCGGCCACTCCATCGACAGCAGCCTGGCCGTGCTGCGCACCTTGTACCTGCTGGGCGTGCGCTACATGACCCTCACCCACAGCTGCAACACGCCCTGGTAGGCGCTCTGGCGGGGCACGCGGGGAGCCGGAGGCTGGGCCTGCTGCGGGGCCCGCTCTCTGCCGGGCGAGACCGCCGCTCACCTGCGTGCGTCTGGAGCAGGGGCACTTGAGGGGGGCGCCCTCCCTCCTGAGCACTGTATCGGGGAGCCGCTGTGGCTGAGAACCACGCGGAAAGCCCCTTCCCCGCGTCCGGGGGGAGCGACGGGGCTGCCTAACCTCCCGATGCTCCGCTCGGCAGGGCTGATAACTGGCTGGTGGACACGGAGGAGGAGCGGCCGGTGCACCATGGCCTGTCGGAATTTGGGAAGGTAGGCGGGGCCTCTGCCGGGATTGGGGGGGCTCATCGCCTGCGGTGGAGGGAGGCCTTTTATGGTCAGGGCCGAGGACACAGTGCTCCCCTGGCGTGACGCGTGGCCCAGGAGCAGCCACGGCAGCCAGCAAGCATCCGATGCGCCAGCCTGCCTTCCCCAGCCGGGAGCTTGGAATCGGGTCTCGGTGAGGCTCCAGGCCCGGAACCGGAAAAAGGAAAGTGGGGACTCGCTGCGACGGATTGAATGCTGCTTAGCAAAAGTGGGGAAAGACCGCCCAGAGTTTGGGGACAACCCCCTCCAGCTCCTCCAGGAGTGCCTCCTCAGAAGGGATCTGCCGGGTCACCAAAGGTTTTGTCTTGACCGGGTTGCAGGGAAACTCCCATTTCATAAGCCCTGGAAGCCAAAGCAACCTTCCCCTTTTCCCGCCCGGCAGCGTGTGGTCCTGGAGATGAACCGGCTGGGGATGCTGGTCGACCTGTCCCACGTCTCGGTGGGCACGATGAAGATGGCGCTGAACATCTCCAAAGCCCCCGTGATATTCAGCCACTCCTCGGCCTATGCGCTCTGCCCCTCGCGGCGCAATGTCCCGGACGACGTGCTCCTGCAAGTGGTGAGTGGCTCCGGCGGCCACGGCTGCTCCCGCTGGGGCTGGTCCGCGAGCCGAGCGGGGAGCCGCGAGGAGGGCCCCCGGCCCCTCCCCGGCCCCTCCCTAGCTGGCCCGTCTCCCCCAGCCTGGTGCAGCCTGCTGCGTTGGACTGCACCTCCCATCAGCCTCAGCCAGCGCAAGCGGAGTGCTCCAGGCCAGGAAAGTTGGCGCCAGTGCGCATCGCAAGCTCAGTCATCGTGCCGACGCTCACGGCGCTGCCTCTGCAGGCCGTCCACTCACAGCTGGGACAAGCAACGGCCGGACCCTTCCCTGCCGGAGGCGCGAAGGCGGGCCGAGGCCGGCTGCCAGCGGGAGGCGGCTTTCAATTCCCGTGGAGCCCCTCGTTGGCTGGGTTTCCCGCGGCTCTGGAGAAGAGGCCGGGAGAGGCCGCAGGGCCTCGGGCGGGAGGACGGAGAGCCCTACTCTGGCGAGTGGGGAGGCCAGCCCGAGAGCCGCCCCCTTGCGCCCCCCCCGCCCTGAAGTGGCGCCTCTCCCGCCCCCGCTACAGAATAAGACCCGCAGCCTCGTGATGGTGAACTTCTACAACGACTACGTCTCCTGCGGCTCCGAGGCCAACCTGTCTCAGGTCGCAGGTACGTCAGGTGGGGTGAGGGGCGCCAGGTGGGTGGGGCGGGGAGGGGAGGACTGCTCCCAAAGGACTGGCTGACGGCTTGCCCCTCTTGCTGCCCAGACCACTTGGACTACGTAAAGCGCCTGGCTGGGCCAGAAGCCGTGGGCTTCGGGGGAGACTACGACGGCGTGACCAGGTATCTGCGGCAGGCCCCGGGCCGGGCCCGTCCACACAGCGATCTCTGTGGTGAAACCCGGTGCCGTTCCCACAGCAGAGGCAGCAACGGGTGCACACACACTCGTGGGCCATGGCCGGTCTGTCTTCGCAGAGGGGCTCTCGAAGGCCCTTCCTGGGGGGGGTGGTGCTCCTCCAGCTGGGGCTGAACTCCTTCTCTGTGCCCGCCTGGGCACTCCTGCGACCCACACAGGGTGCCGCAGGGGCTAGGGGACGTCTCCAAGTACCCGGACCTGGTGGGGGAGCTGCTGAGGAGGAACTGGACGGAGCAGGACGTGAAGCGCGCCCTGGCCGAGAACCTGCTGCGTGTGCTGAGGGAAGCGGAGAAGGTGAGCGTGGGGCCCGCCGGCTGCAGGGCACCCGTGGCCGGGCTCTCCGTGGCCCTCCGCCCCGGCCCCTGCTGGAGGATGCTCCGGGATGCCCACCCGGGACGGCCCCCCAGGCCTTCACACCCGCCCTTCTCCTTGCCCAGGTGCGGGACGACATGGCCAAGAGCGCCGTCCCTCCCGACGACACGCCCATCGCCTTCCAGGAGCTGGAGGGCGCCTGCCGGACCCGCTATGGCTACCCCAGCGGTGGGGACCGCCCCTGGCTGCTGCCCGCGGTGCTCGCGTCCTCCCTCCTCCTCGTGGCACTCTGCTAGAAGCATGCGCAGCTCTTCTTCTTCTTCTTCTTCTGGGAACCGGAGACGGACGCGCCAGCACCTCTCTGCCACCGAGACATCGGGCCGGGCTGGGCCAAACCTCTTGCCTCCGGCACCAGGGCCTCATTAAACGAAGCATTTGCCCGCTGCCCCCACTGGTCTTTCCCTCCTTTGCCCTCACCGCGCTCGTTTCCCGGCTGGGCGTGTGATCAGCAAACCGCATCGGGCACCTCCGCGCGCTTGGGGCGCTTCCGGACCAGCGGGCGCCGTCCTTCCCTGTGAGCGGCACCCTGGCCCAGCGGCTCCCGCAGCAGTGCTCCCCCTTTCGGAGGCCCAGGGGGCACGTGAGGCCGGCTCCGTGAGTGCCTGGCCAGCCGCAGCCGAAGGGAAACCCACCCCCCACCCCAGAAGGGGAAGATTTCTGCCCCCTCATCTCAGCACCTGCTCGAGGCGAACGCTGCAGGCCCAACAGTCAAGGGCAGGAGCCAGCGGGTCTCTGCGCTCCATCCGGGCAGGTGCTGCCATCCCGCTCTGCACCTTCCTCCAAGCCTTCCGCATTAGCCAATTAATGAGCTAATTAGCCCGCTCATTAGCAGCTTCCGCTGGCATTTAGAGAACAGCCTGTCTCCGTGTGGGGGCGGCACCAGGCGCGGTGCGCACGGCCTGGCTCGCTTGCCGGCGGGGCGGCTGCGGCTCCGCGTGGGAGCAGATCGGCACCGCCGGCCGGGGCAGGGGCGGCCCGCTCAGCCCTGCAAGGGCCCCTGTGGAGAGGGGGCGCGCCTCCCCAGCCCCTCCACTCACGCACTCTGCACGCGGGCCTGGCTGCAGCGCGGAGGCTCCTCGGGGGGAGCAAGGCCCGTGCGTCTGGCCCCGGCCCAGCCTCTCCCTGCAGGCAGCCACACTCCCGGAGGGGGGCCAAGGGGGCAGCTGGCCTGTGGCGCACAAGGGCGAGCCCCCCCCCCCAAGGCCGTTTCGCCATCCGTGCTCCTCCGCGCCCACGCGCTCGTGGGCCGTTCATCGCAGTGGCCTTGCTGACGGGCAAAGCACAGCCTGTCCCCTGGGCTGGGCTGGGCTGGGCTGGGCTGGGCTGCCCCAGCACGGCGAGCCCCTCCCTCCCTCGCACGCCCCGCGGCTCCGCAGGCAGGCTCAGCTGGTTCCAGGCAAGGGCCTGGCCACGCTTGTGACAAGTTTCTGCCCCATGCAGGGCAGGAGGGAAGGGAGTTCTCTTAAAAAAGGGGGGGAAAAACAGCAAGTGCCTGACGAAGAGGAAGAGGACATGGCGGGGGGGGGGACGCTAATCCCCCAACAGCGTGAAAGGAAGGCATCATCTCCGTCCAGAGGGAACAGAGGGAGGCAGCTCTGCATGGCCCTCGGCAGGAGCACCCTCAGGGTCGCCGGCCTGTGGCTCCTCCTGCCCAGAACGCCCAGCTCTGCGCAGGAGGTTTGCTTTCGGCACTCTAAAGTGCAGCCCGAGCATCGTCTTGCTCATGCTTCAGAAGCTCCGTGAGCAGGCGATGCAGGGGAGCCGCCCCGCATGGCTCTCTCCGCACACCTGCTCAGGGATGCCCCCGAGTATTTGGCCACGGTCACCTACCAAGAGCGCAGGCTTCCGGGCCCCACCGGGCTCTTGAGCCGGCTGTAAGGCACAGGGAGGCTGTCTGTAAGGGGAGGGCGACCTCTGGTGGCCAAACTGTTCCTTGCAGAAACACCCCCCCCCCCCCCACATGCAATTCGGGAGGTGGGGGAAGAGGGGGCTGCTCTGGTGACTGCTCCCCACCCCCAAAGGGATTTAGGGCTGCTGAGTCACGGCTCCGTCCATGCCGGGCCCCGGAAGGGACATGGGCGGCCACCGCCACCCTCCATTTTGGCCTGTGCCGCAGGAAGCCTCGTGGCATCAGGGCCACGGCCCAAAGGCGCCCCTGGCACAGCACCGAGGCCCCGGCCCGTCGGGAGATGCACCTGCGACCGCCCCCCCGGCAGCTTGCGGTGATCCCCCGGCACTTCGGGCCGAGTGGGCGGCTGGGGCGCGTCCCACCTGGGCAAAATCCTCTTGCGGCCGGCTCTCAAGAGGGGCCGCTGAGCTCCCGGCGGCCTGAGAAGGCCGGGCTGAGCGCCCGGGCGGAAAGGGAGCGGCTGCGGCCCGGCCACCCCGGCAACACAGACTGCCCCCCGCCCCGGCCCGAGGGCGCGCAGGGGCCCGGCCACCGCCAGGGGACGGCCGCTCCGCGAGGACCTGCTTATCCAAAAAAACCGACGGCATCCGCTTTAATGTGTTTTTTTTAAGAAAGAAAGGCAAAGGACACATTTTCCCAAGAGACCGAGAGAGAGAAAGAGAGAGAGGTGGGGAACCTGCCTCTCTACAAAAGGGCTGTCAGGTTAAGTGCAGTGCAAAGCGGCCCCGGCCGACGGGGGGGCAGGGGAAGGAAACGGGAGCCCCCCCTCCACAGGCTCTGCCTGGGGAACGGCTTCCCCACGCGGCTCCAAAGCGGGGAGTTCTCCCGATGCCGGCCTGCCCCAGCCGGTGCCCCACGTACACGGGCCGAGAGTGACGGCAGCCGCAGCCCATGCGTCCGAGGGCACCTGCTTGGGGAGGGCCGCTTTCTGCAGGGGGGCAGGAAGGGTCGGAGCAGCTCTGCCAAAGGTCGGCGTGTCCTCCTGGGGAACCGCACGGCTGGCCCCCGAAAAGGCTCGGAGCCCAGCGGTTGCCCGGGGCTGAGGGCACCGCGAGGGGAGCGGCCCAGGGGGCCGTGCGTGGGGAGGCCTCTGCCGGCCGGGAAAACGTCGGGGAGGAGGGGCCACTGCCGAGAGAAGGCAGCCCGGGCAGGGGGCGCAGGGTGGTCCTGGGAGCGAGTGGGGGGTGGGAGGTGCCGGGGCTTGTCTTCCAAGGCCACGTGACGGTGTGCAAATCCAAAGCAGCTGCCACGAAAGCGACACGTCCACCTGCTGCACAGACTCGCTCCCGACAAGCCGGGCCTCCGGGGGCCCCCCCAGGATCCAGCGTGGCAAGAAGGAACAAGAAATGGGAAGAAGGCACGGGGGCGCCGGGCCCACCCAAGGATGCCCACAGGCTTGCTCTCACCCAATGCCGTGCGCCCGTCCTTCTCATCCGGCAGGCTCCAGACACGGGGGATGATGGGACATGCAGCCTGGAAAGTGGAGGCGGAGCAAGGGGGGCCGTCCCAGGGAAAGGGCCCCCACCTCCCGCTCCTTGTCCTGGGGGCTCATGCAGACGTCCGCCCTCCCACGGCTCCTTCCGAGAAGGGCTGCCAGCACCGTGTGGGGAGGCCGGGAGCAGCGGGAGGGCCAGCCCTCTTTCTGGCCGTGGAGGGGAGAACCGGGGGGTAGGAGGGCAGGAGCCTCGCACGGCAGCCCCACAAATCATAGGTGAACAAGGCAGAAGCGACAGTTCGTGGGGGCGAGCGGCAGCTAATTCCGCAAGGCGGCCAGCCTGGAAAGGAAAGTGAGACGGGGAAGACCATCAACGGAGGAGAGGGGAGTGCCGGACGCAGTGGGAAGGGGCTGTTTCAGGGTGCGAGCACCCGGGGCCAGGTCTGCCTGGGTCTGTCATCGGGTCTTGGCCCACACGACCTGCATGAACCCAGCAAGCACAGGCCATGCGAGGGCTGGACTGCCATGGTTCCTGCGAGAGGGTCAGCGCAGGGACCCGAGTGGGGGCCGCAAGCGGAAAAAGGGGCCAGCACAGGGGCCGCAGCCTCCCTGTCCGTGCCGGCTGACCCAGCCTGCAAAGAGGCCCGTCAGGGAGCTCAACGCAGCCGCCCCTCAGCCAGGGAATGCCAGAGGGTGGCTGGCGCATCGAGGCATCCGATTCCATCTCCCAGGGATGGGATACAGAACAAGGGGCTCCTTTCCCAGCGGCTACCCTTCCATCGCAGCAACTGGGCCGGTGGGGCCGCCAGCCCACGACCCACGCAAGTGCCCCCCGCACCTTCAGCATCCAGGTCCTCTGCCCACACAGTTCACACGCCCTCCCCCCCCAGAGCGCGCTGATAAATCTGCCCGTCCGAACATCAGCGACCGATTAAGGCCTGCGGGACGGGCCCTGGGAAGCCAGCCCACCTCCGCGAGAGCTGGTCCTCCTGGGAGCGCGTCGAGCTCTCGCCCACCGCCGAGGCCCCCTCGGGCAGCTGGCTCAGCTGGTCCATGATCTCCAGGCCGTTCTCCTCGGCGATCTGCACGATGAGGCTGTCCACCTGCTCCTGGGGGGTGGTCAGCGTCGTGGCGGAGCTCATGGAGTCCTCCATCACCTGCGAAGGGACAGGCTCAGCTGGGGGCGGGGAAAGGAAGCGGTCCGACAAGCCGCGTCCGAGCACGGGGCTGAGCCCGCGGCCTCTCCCCTGCGCCAGCCTCCCCGGCACTCGAGGCGAGCCTCCCTCCCTCCAGCCGCGTTGGAGGAAAAAACGCTGGGTGGGGTGCTCCGTCTGCAAAGCGCCCCACGGAAGGCGAGAAACACCCTCCTTTCCTGCCCGTGGACCCAGGAACGGGCCCAACAGGTGTATGCACACCGTGCGAAAAATTCCCGCACTGGCCCTTCGCATTTGGACGGAACTGCACCGACGCCAGCAGGAAGCGGGATGCCGGTGCAGGAGGCGGTGGAGGCTGGGCAGCGGCAGGGGTGACCCTGCCGTTGGGGAACGTGGCGCCTCCAAAACAGTGCCCGAGGACCCCTGCCCGGGCACCCGCAAGACTCCCTGCCCCCCACTTTTCATTGGAGGAAGGCGTGTTTCAACTGGCTGCAGAACAAAGGGCTCCCCCAAGCGCCACCTTCATTTGGGCCCAGGAGGAGGCCCTGCGCTTCGGAGCCCTGCGGCGGCTTTCTGCCTCGGCTCCCTTTGCCTCCCGGGAAATGAGTGTTTTGTGAGCTGCCCTGCCGACCACAGCAGCCGACTGCGAACAGGCCAGTCGACCCAGGCCGCCTGCTGCGAGCGGGTGCCCACAAGTCCCTCCGAAGGTCCCGGCTGTGCCGGCTGCCCCAGAGGCGGCACGCCCCGCTCAGCACGGCGCGCCGGCCGCTCCCCCCCCGCCGCGCGCCCGGCACTCACCGACGTGTGCACGTCCAGGTTCTGCACCTGCTGCTCGAACTTGTCCATCACAGCGGAGACCTTCTGCAGGTCCATCGAGCTGAGCGCCTTGTCCAGCGCCTTGGTGACCTGGGCCATGTTCTTAGTCACCTGAGGAGAGTCCGGAAAGGCTTGCGCTTGCTCCGGGGGCAAAGCCATCAGGGCCTCCCACGGAGCTGGGGCCGGAGCCCAGGGAGGGTTTGGAGGCCATGGGGGTGGGAGCAGTTTTCTCCCCACTGAAGAGGGGCTGAAACGCCTCCCCCAAGGCCGCAGTGACAGCAGGAGAGCTGGAGGCGGCGGTTTGCCGGCACTGCCTGCTCTTCTGGCCCTGCCCCCCTTGCCTCCAGCCCGGAAACATTTCCTCGTGGGCTTAAGCAGAAAAACAACGAGGGGAGGGAGGCAGCGGCTGCTCCACTCCGTGGTTAAGGCAGGGCTTCTTACCCCCTTCATGGTCACGGCCGTCTGGACCTTGGAGGCCACGGCGTCCACACGGGAGGCCATGCGGAGCCAGTTCAGCCCCTCGTTCTTCTTCCGGATGGCATTCTCTGCGTAGACGCGGGCACACTCAACGTTCTTCTGCTGAAGAGCCTGGAGCACGCAAAGCGGGAAGGCTGGGGATGAACCGCTTGGCCCGCTCGCCACAAGCCCAGCACCACGCCAGCGCCGCAGCAGCTCCCGGGAACCCTTTCACGCCAACGGACGAAGACGGAGCAGGGCAGGAAGGGGCCTCACGAGCAACGAGAACTGACAGCAAGAGCAACCCTGCGCTTCCCGCAGGGGCCACAGCTGGGCAGTTTAAAGGCTGCAAATGGGTTCACGGCAGGAAGCTCAGCTTCATGTTTAGAAGCGAGAGCTCTCTCTGAGGAGCAGCTTTTTCACCCTCGTGAAAGCACAGCCCTGGCGAGGAGCACCTGCAGAATCCCAAAATGAACGCTTCCCACCAGAAGCTGGATGCAGCCGTGCTCCCGGTGATCGAGAGGGGGCGTTCTGTGCCACGCAGGGTCCCCCGGCCCTGCCTGAGCTCGCTCCCAGTCTCCCTGATGGGTGTGGTGAGCGCTGGGGCGGCTTGGCATGCAGGAGGCCCTGTCTGGATGGCTTGTGATCCAGATGAGGACGAAGCCAAACGATCAAGGAGGGAAGCATGGAAGGAAGAGGAAACGCTCCAGAGCGGGCAGTAAGTGCGACAGAGGAACTGCAGCGAGCCGGAATCATCAATGGCCGGAACCCAAGAGAGAGCAAGTGCGTGGTGGCATGGAAGGGCTAGATGCTCAGCCTTCCCAGGTGGCCTCGGACAACGACTGTCCTCCTCTGCATTTGGCTCCCTCACCTTTTTGACTTTGGCCTGTTCGGTTTTGGAGTCCTTCTCCGCCTTCTTGGACAGCTTCTCCAGCTGCTTGGCTGTAAACTGGAGAGAGAGAGAGGCAGAAGCTCGGCTGCCTGCGAAGTGCACTTCCCCACAGCTCCCACTGTGGAGGCCACGGGTCTGATCCGGCCTCAGAGGTCTTCTTGGGACAGCTTTCCCCCCGCCCCTCCCTGGCAGAGCTGCAGCCCTTCTCAGCTCACGGCTCGGGGCCAGGACACAGTTCGGTCTTGCTGGCATTGCCACGGCTGGTGGAAGAGGAGGTGCCTCTGGCGCCGAACGCTCAGCGGCGACTATGGCAAGAGCAGCCCGACTCAAAGGGGCCTTCCCAGCATTCCCTGCACAGCCACAGGCTGGCATCCTGCTAACCCAGGAAGCAAACCCTCAGCCTGGGAAAGGCAGCGCTCCCTCACCAAATGCGAGCAGCCGCCTCCACAGCTCCCCCACGAGAAGACGCATCTCTTCCTCAGTGGGGGAGACCCACAAAACAGCATCCTGCCCTTGATTAGGGACCAGAGAGAGCATTTATTCTGCCCCCACTCACCTTCAGCTGGAAGAGTGTATCTGTGAAGAGAAAGAGAACAGGTGGAAGATCTCAGGAATGAAAGGCGGCTCAGTAGGAAGGGGATTCACGCGCACGCCCGTCCTTTCGCCCCGGAGAGGTCCAAACCGGGTGCTCTTCCCCATTTCCACATCTGGAAAGGTCCAGTGTGCTGGACTGTATGCAGGACCAAAAACTTTACTGAAAGCTACATGCATGAAATGCCTTCAGCTCTACGCGGGGGGCCAGCTCCTCAAGCTTTTCCATTTGTGGCTAAAATTATATTTTCTAACTTCTGTGTTCCGACAGAATCTTTGTGGTACCTTGGAGACAAACTTTTAGGCCTCTCACAAGTTTTGCAGAGTCCAAATTCATCCGACACACATAATTATGAGACTGATTCTGTGAAGTCTAAATTATTTAATACAGTAAAAAAACTCATGCAGTAAGACACCTGTTAGCCTCCCTGGAAAGGACCACAGCTCTCTCCCCAGACTTCAGCGCTCCATTTTGGAAGCAAAAGTCACATGCTCCTCCTTACTCTGCCTTCTCACACCTCCCTGGAGGTTAATCACCTGCCAAGAGTCCCGGTCTGCCTGCAGCCAGGGTGGAGCTCAGGAACTGGGGCACCTGACTAGCCGGCAGCAACAGGAAATGAAATCCTGCAGAAAACATGTTCAGATTCTGCTGAAGGATTTGTGTCTGAAGGCCTTGAACATGCCGTTCACGGGTGCCGCTGCTTGGGGGAATTTGGAATTCCAGGGGCTCAAAGGAGTATTGACCAACTCACTGCCTTAAGCCAGGTCTCCACACGTGCCACAGTGGGCATGCAGAGCCCTCTCTGTCGGCACGTGGGTCAAGTCGCCCCAGCGTCGCCCCAGCAGGCGAGCATCAGATAACTGCACACATGGGGGCCATGCGCACACTCGAGAAGGAGTAGCGGTGCCAGGTGATGTCACGAGTCACGACTCATGAGCCACGACACATCTGAGCTTTCGCATGGCTGGTCAGTGCACTAGCAAAGATATATATATTTGCTTGGACCCGCTGTGGGTTTCCCCCCGACAAACTAAAACCTCCGTTTTCAGGTTTTATTGCAGTGTTGGCCCTTTGCGGTAAATAAGTGGGTTTCGGGTTGCAGTTATTATTATTATTATTATTATTATTATAACATTTCTACGCCGCCCCTTGCCGAAACCTCAGGGCGGCTTACAACACGATAAAATACATTGAAATATAATAGCACATAATAAATTGCCATTAAATACAAAAATACAAAAAATACATTGATTTACAAATATAAGATTAAAATTATCAGTATAAATTAAGTAAATAAAAATATAGGAGGAGAAAGAGAAGGAAGAAGAAGTTGCCCTGGCCAGATCATATGTTTTAACAATTAAAATGATGTTTGGGCACTTGGTCTGTGGAAGGTTCGCCATCGCTGGCCTAGATTCTGCTATGGGCTGCAAGCAAAGAGCCGGAACAAGAACAGTGCCGTGTACCAAGAAGACCGTCAGCGCTGCCAAGACACCAAGGCCAAGCATCCATCTCTTGCAGAACTTCAGGGTCGGTCCTCAACCCAGCATCCCCCACTCCCACGGACAGGGCCACCCACCGTGCCTCCAAGAGCAACCCACACGCCAGCAGAGCGCTGCACAAGGCCGTGAAGCACAGCCAACTGACTCGAGCCCTTAGCCCAGCCTCCACATGCACTGCAGGGGGGCGGGGGCGCCACGGCTTTCCTGGGGAGGTTCCTGGGCTGGGGACTGAATACGGGCCTCCTCACCTGTCAAGTCTCACGACCCCGGTGCTGTGCACTGGGGCCAGTGGAGGGAAGCGAGCAACCCTGGCAGGTAGGCAAAGAGGCACGTTCGGGCGGGGAGGGTGGGCCCTTCAGCCAAGAGCCCCGCTGAACATTAGCGAGTCCACCTCCAGCCTCAGCCATTCGCAGCATGCATGCGCGGCACCAATATTCAGTTATTAACAAATGCATTCTTATTCTACTCTCCTTCAGCCAAAGACCCCGGAGCACCTCCCAGGGCCCAGGCATAAGACAGCGCTTCCCCAACCCCTCAAGACGCAACGTAAAAGGAAAGAGGACGCGGAGGGAGAAGGAAAACACGCGACGCTCCTGCGCGGGGCTCAACGGCGGGGAGAAGCCCGGGGCCACCCCCGCGGCCAGCACTGCCTCCGTGGAGGCGCCACTCCCAGTCCCGGCTCCGCGGGACGTCACCCGATACCCCCAGGAGCGAACGAGCAGCCCCCTCACCGTCCATCCTGGCTGGGCTCCTCAGCCGACTTCCTTCTGCCAGCACTTCCGGGATCCTCCCCTCCCACTTCCGCTTCCGCCCACTTGCGCGGTCGCACCCTTACCTGGCGGAAGACGCCGGTCGTCGAAGGCGCATGCGTGGACTGAAGGGCGCGCGCTGCGGGCGGTTGCTGTGGCAACGGAGAGAAGCGCGCGCGGCCTTCCCTCGCAGCGCTTCGCCCCCGCCCCGCCCCGCCCCCGCGCCGCGGCACGTGGGGGCGCCAGGATGGGGATGCGGGTGGGCGGCGTGGCTCGCCACCGTCGCTGCCATGGCCTCGCCGGGCCGCGCCTGCGGCTGCCGGGAAGGGCCGAGGTGCCCGCGGGGCTCCCGCTGTGCTCGCGGCAAGGCAGCCGCCTCGGCGGTGGACCAGCCGAGTGGCCCCTGGCCCCAGCGAGGCCCGCGGCCAAATGGGGACCCCCCCCCCCCCGCCCAGCGCGGTCCTGGCGCTGCGCCGCCCGTTTTGGAGACTTAAAGGGCTGGCGGGCGAGCGACGCAGCCACCGCGCTGGAGGGTGGGGTGGGGTGGGGTGGGGTGGGGCAGGTCGCAGCTGGCTCCAGGGCCCCTCGAACCCGGGCCGCCACATGCCCTGAGCCTCCCCACCGGGCCCCGCGTCTTCGGCTGGGCTGCTCGCGTTCGCGGCCGGCCTCCGTCACCTGCAGACGGACCCGTGCTGCGGCCACACTCCTCCTCCTCCGAGGTGGGCTCGGTGGGCCCACCGGCTCGGAGGGCAGGGCCGGCCAGCCGGCCGGAGGAGGGCCTCCCCTCTGCTGCCCTGCTTCTGTGATGATGATGGCAGTGGCTGCTGCCGAGTCACAAAAGCACCCAGGCAGTGCAGGCGAGGATGCGGCTGTGCCCGGGAGGGGGGGAGGCCTCTTGGCTCATCTATGGGGCGGTCTCAGAGCAAGCATGAGGATGTGGCAGGAGGTAAGGCGCGCTCGTTTACAGCAGGACGGCCAAGGAGGCTGCGGGGGACGGCCGAGCACCGGCTGGCAGGAGCACGAGCAAAGTCTTCATGGCTAGGACTTTTCGAAGGTGGGTGGGAGGAGGGTCCCCACCCCCTCTGTTTGGAGAAAATGCCATTTCACCTGGGAGGTGGGGGGAGGCCTGGTCGCTACACGGGAAAGGGCAGCTGCGGGATGGAACTATCAAACCAGAGGCGGCAGAACGGATTGTGCCACTTCAGACAGAGAGGAGGGTGCCCTCGTCGCGAATGCCAACAAGCAGAAAGTTGGGGAGGCTGTGGCCCAGGCCGTGCCATTCTCTTGCTTTGCTGAGATCCAAAACAGACCCAGCCACAGCCAGATTATTCCTGCCCCTTCCTTGCTTTTTCCCATTACGCTTTCAAACTAATAACATTGGGTGCCCCGGTAAGCTGTGAGGCACCCACAGTGATGCCAAAGATTTCTCTCCTCTTGCTGGGCTGCGCTCCCCCACCTGCCCACGGATCAACACGCTGCTTTGCATGGCAGTGTCCAACATCCAGTTCATTTTTTTATTATTATTATTATTATTATTATTATAGCATTTCTATGCCGCCCCTTGCCGAAACCTCGGGGCGGCTTGCAACATGATAAAATACATTGAAATACAATAGTACATAATAAATTACCATTAAATATAACAATACAAAAAATACATTGATTTACAAATACAAAATTAAAATTATCAGTATAAAATAAAAATATAGGAGGAGAAAGAGAAGGAAGAAGAAGTTGCCCAGGCCAGATCATATGTTTTAACAATTGAAATGATGTTTAAATAAAAAGGTCTTTACCTGGCGCCGAAAAACCAGTAACGACGGTGCCAGGCGGACCTCTTTGGGGAGTGAATTCCATAGGTTGGGCGCCACCGCAGAGAATTTCCATCACTGGATGCGCCTTGTGCAAAGCTGGGCTCCTCTGAGAGGCTCCCAGTGGCAGAGAAGAACAGGCTGTGGGCTTGAGGTCTGAAACCCTCAGCACAGACTCATCGCAGCCTCTGATCCCACCAGGTGACTCGTGTTGTTGGTCCTCAGAGAAGCGAGGGAAAGGGATGTGCTGGCTCACCATTGTTTCCCCTTCCATTCCTTCTCACTTGATTTTTCCTTTGCAGTTCACATTCATAGAAATCTAGAGAGCAGCAAGACCAAAGATTCCAAGCAGGCCATTCAAGACCAGAGCTTGCACACGCACTCAAGCATTCAGCCCTCCACATCCAAAGGAGCAAAGAAAACGCCGCCCCATCCGATGCAGGCAGAAGGTGAGAGAGGAGGCTGTGAGCTGGGGAGCCCTTGGCCCCAGCCGAGCAGGGGAGGGTGGTGGAGGAGAGAGAGAGAACCGTATCCGCTGTTTATGTGGCGACTGAGGCAAAACCCCAGGCCATCAAAGCTGGGAGGAAGGCAGAGTGGGCACTAGATGGTTAAATCCAGAGAGCCAAAATCCCTTCAGTAGCATTTAGTGGGTCTCCTTCAGAAGGGAAACAGTTGCGCATGTGTGAATGTCAGCACATGCCCTCCGGCTGCAGCAGGTCACCTTCAAGCGGCCTTCTCTAACCTTCAACCTGTTGCCGTCCCACACAGCGGGAGGATGCGAAGTTGCGCAAGGCTGCCTTGACCGTCGTTCGCTCCCGGATTGCTGGGAATGTGGCGCCATTTCCCCTTGACACTCAGAGCTGCCTTGTTCCTTCCTTGCAGTATCTGCCGATAAACTTGCCAAAAAGAAGAAGCTTATCCCGAAGATCATTGTCACGGGGCCCTCGGAAGAAGTGCTGCTCAGCAGTCTCGCCGATGAACTCCCCGACACCAGAACCATCCGGGATTCTGAGGACTACGGGCCGTACACCGTGCACTCCAAGCCCAGCACAATAGACGCGTACAAGAGCGGGACAGAAGAAGAGGAGAAGTGAGGGCGGGCACCGGAGCACCGATGGTGCTGCACGGACCCGGCAGGGGGGCTGGCGGCCAGTGCTGGGCTGCCTCGCACCGCCTGGGAATCCCTCGCCGGGGGGCCACTCTTCGCGGACACACGTGGAGCAGGCGTCGGAGGGCATAGCACAGCCAAATGTAAATGATGGAGTTGGATAGTCACTTCCAAATAAATATGTTTGGTAAATGTCTGAAGATCCCCAGTTAAAAACAGACCGTGCCTGCCTGGACGGGTGTGCTTTGCTGGGCACTGCTGAGGCGTCACAGCTGGAAGGCCGGCCAGGGAGCCATGAAGGCCCCTCCATGAAGCGCTTGGGGACATGTGGCTTGTGTTTGCCCAGGAGAGGTGCGCTGCACGTCGGGCGCGAGGGGGGGCAACCAGAAGCCGTCTTCCCGAGCCCACATGTGTCTGGATCGCTGCATGAAGCTTGCTTAAATGCCCCGGAGCCAGGGAACGGTGCTGAACTTGCACCCTGAAATGTGTTGCCTTCAGGGCTCCTTCGCTGTGGGTTGGATTTGGGCTTGTGAGCCCCTAAAGGCCGTGAGTGGAAGGCGGAGCCAGCACATGGATCCTTGGATTTCCTTTCGCTTTTCTTCCAAACACCTTTTAGCAAGCCCTGGGTTGCTATAGCAACCCTGCCATGGCAAGCCAGAGCATTTGAACATGTTTAATATTATGGCTCTGCCTGCCTGTCTTTACAGAAGCAAATCTGCACCCTGCCCTTTGGCCTCCAAACAGTCTTCCCGGGTGGCTTCCAGACAGAAAGCAAACAAAATGCCACTAAAATAGGACAAAGATCAATGCACTACATCAGTCCAGCCATTACAGCAGTGGCATGAGAGCCTGAACCGCTTCGGTTCTTATTTTCGAGTTCGTCGACCCTTCGCGAGATGAACCGTAAACGGAGCGGGCCTGAGTGCGTCCGCGCGAGCTGGGGAGGGCGGGAGCCGCGGTGGGGGCCCCTCTGAAGGGGATCGGCCGGCCTGCCCCGTCTCCCCCCCTTCGCTGCTGTCGCTTCCAGGCAACACGCGGGTCGCCTTCCTTCCCACGGCCTCCGGAAGCCCCCCGGCTGCGCTGCACGCCTGCCTGGGGAGGGCGGGAGCCGCGGCCCCCACGCGGAGGGAGGGAGGGCGGCCGGCAGGGGGCGCGCGCGGGCCTCGGCTGCGCCCGGAGCGCGGACGGGCCAGGCGGCGGCGGCGGCGGCCATGGCGGAGGCCGCCTCCGCGGAGCAGGAGCCGGAGACGCTGAGGCTGAAGCGACTGCGCGGCGGCGGCTTCTTCGCGGTGCCCCCCGAGCACCGGGTGAGGCGGGGCGCCTGCCTGCCGGGCTGCCT